ACTAAAAATGATAATTTAGGAAATAATTATTGGTTTTTTCTGATAAAATAAGGCGACAAATTGATTTAAAAATCTTTTAAAAATTGGAAAAATAATAAAACACTTGGACATGCTTATATATGCATACGTATGCTATTTTGAAAGTATTTTGCATATAAAAATTTACAGGAAAAAATTGGGTATCAACACATAACAATGGTAAGGATAATATGGGCAAGTTTGATCCGAAGAGTGATGAAGGTATATTTCTTGGTTACTCTCCCTCGAGTAGAGCTTACTGAGTTTAAAATAAGAGAACCTTATGCATTGAAGAATCTATTCATGTTGTTTTTATTGATACTAACCCTCGCTCAAGGAATGAACATGTTCCTAAAGATGAGGAAATTTCGTGTGCTCCAAAATCTGTTATTATAGGAAAAGATCATCAAACTGAGTTAGCTAATCAACAGAATCAACCAATTGAAGCTCCTTCAGAATATCATGACTTATCTCAACCAATCAGTCGACTAACATATCTTATAGGAATACTCCAAATGAATAGAGGAACAAACCAGGATATCCTCACAAATTTATTATTGGAGATCTACAGGAAGGAATAACTATTAGAAGATCACAAAAGAACAAGTCTCATGTAGCTCTCATTTCTCAAATTGAGCCCAAGAAGATTGATGAAGCTCTAAACGATTCTCATTGGATCGACGCTATAAAAGAAGAACTAGATCAGTTTGAGAAAAAAAAGTCTTGGAATTAGTTTCAAAAACCCAAAACTCCTCTGTTGTTGGGACTAATGGGTGTTCAGAAAAAAATTGAATGAATCAAGCCAAGTCGTTCGAAATAAGCAAGACTAGTGGCTCAAGATTACTCTCATCAAGAAGGAATCGACTATGATGAAACCTTTGAACCTATGGCAAGACTTGAATCCATCAGAATTCTACTTGCTTTTACCGCCCACAAAGGATTCAAACTGTATCAGATGGATGTCAAAAGTGCGTTCCTAAATGGTTTTATATATGAGGAAGTACACGTAAATCAACCTCCTGGATTTGCAAATTCCACTCTTCCAAACCATGTATACAAGCTTACTAAAGCCTTGTACAGTCTCAAACAAGCTCCAAGTTCTTATCTTATGAATCAAGGTTTCAAACGAGGTAACATAGATACAACTCTTTTTATTAAGCAATCAAATTCTGGTAATCTCATTACTCAAATTTACGTTGATAATATTAGTTTTGGAAGCCCTAACACTACTCTTTGTGAAGAATTTGCTCGTTCCATGAAAGGTGAATTTGAGATGAGCATGATGGGAGAACTAACCTTCTTCCTTGGACTTCAAATCAAGCAATCTCCTAAAGGAATCTTTATCAGCCAATCTAAATACACCAAGGAGCTTATCAAAAACTTTGGAATGGAAAATGCTAAGGCTATTGGTACTCCTATGAGTCCAACTACTGTGCTAGATGATGACATCAATGGAAAAAATGGTTGATGAAACCATGTATAGAGGAATGATTGGATCTCTACTTTATTTAACTGCTAGTCGACCAGATATTATGTTTAGTGTATGTAAATGTGCTAGATTTCAGTCAGCTCATAAGGAATCACATTTGACTGATGTTAAACGCATTATTAGATATTTAATTGGTACTTCTGAATTCGGCCTATGGTATGATCATTCTAACAATTTTTCTTTAAGAGGCTTTTCAGATGCAGATTTTGCAGGAGACAAAACTGTTAGGAAAAGTACCAGTGGGACATGTCAATTACTGGAAAATGCCTTAGTATCTTGGCACAACAAGAAATAAAATTGTGTTGCTCTTTCAACAACTAAAGCAGAATACCTAGCTGTTGGAAGTTGCTGTACAGAAGTTTTATGGATCATGCATCAACTCCTTGATTATGATTTATGTCTTACTGCTACTCCTATTTTTGTGACAACACCAGTGCTATCTGTCTATCAAAAAAATTTATGCATCATTCTAGAGTGAATTATATAGAAATTAAACATTATTTTATTCGTGATCATATTGCAAAGAGATGATATTGCATTAGAATTCATTAGCACTGATTCTCAACTTGCAGATATTTTTACTGAACCTCTTTTAGAAGAAAGACTCTGTATCCTTCGTAAAAAGATTGGCATTCTGCCAAATTTGTAAACCAGTTGCTTATTTAATTAGTTAAATTATTCTATATGTTTTTAGTATATTTTATTTCCTTAATTATTCGTGTACTATTCAATTTTTCTGTGAAAGTATCATTATTACTTGCAGTCATTCAGAATCATCACTTCCGTCTGTATTTGACCCTTCCGATAACCAAGAAGCCTCTTCACTTTTCTCAAATCCTTGATAAAAAATCTCCATCTTCCAAAACACCTTTCTCATTCCCTACCAAACACCCTTCCGATTTCTCCATGGCCAAAAGAAATCCTTCCTCTATAACCAGGCTAAGCCGTAGGTTTCAAAAATCTCTCAATACAGAAGGAACGGTGGATGCAGAATCATCTACTGATTCAGACCTTCTCAAGACTGATAATGATAGCAGTGCCTCATCTGTAAATCAACCCATTAGCCAGAAGGCTACATGCAAAAAGGGCAAGGTAGAACGCTTGGATTTTGGTCCAGAAGACAAGTTGATCTTCTATGGCCCTAGTGAAAAGGCAAGATTTGAGTCCTATAAGTCAAAATCCATGGCTTATGGACGATGTGTAGGACTCTCTCTTATGCAAAGTCTTCATTGTGATGTTACTGAAATTTTTGATTTCCAACACCTTTCCCCTATGTTTGACACTCTTGGAAATTCTGTGTATGAAGAACATGTGAGAATGTTTTATGCAAATCTGTTTGTGAATGATAAGGATGACTTAGAGTCTATGGTCTTACGTACTAGAATTGTGTTGGACTCCTACCAATTTGAAAAGATCTTTTCTTCCAAATTTTAGTGGGTATGATGTGTTTGTCCAAAAATCTTGGCCCAAAGACTTTTACGTGTCTCTTGAAGAAGCAAAAACCTTCTTGTCTAATAATCCCCCTGACATTGGCCCCAAAAATCTAAAATTTGAACACCGGGTTTTGGCCCACATGATTGCTACTACTTTACTTCCTAGTTCTGGGTCCCTAAGTTCATTGTCTACTTGAAATGTCTTTGTCCTCTGTTGTCTGGTGAACAACAAGCGTCTTAATTGGTTTGTGTGGATTCGTCAATACATGCTTGAGAGTATCAGGGATATTTCCTCTTCTGCTGCTTGTCTGCCTTATGGCATTCTTATCTCTCATATTCTGGAAGTTATGAAGGTTGATTTAGCACCCTCTACTAAAGGCTATACAACTCTAACCCCTTTACTATGTTTATTATATTGCTCTGTGTTTCTATATGTTATGGTACTCATTCCTTTTTGATTGATGTCAAAGGGGGAGGAAAAATATGAGTAAACACTCAGGGGGAGACATGAGCACATCTTTCCAAACATAAAACAATTCATCCAAGGGAAGCACTAGCTTAGGGGGAGCAACTCCTAAAGGGAAGTATCTTAAGTTTCTTTAAACTTGTTTACGCCGTCTTGATTGTCATAATCAAAAAGGGGAAGATTGATAGGTTTTAAGTTTAAGTTTCAATGATGACAATATTATCTTATGTTATATTTTCAGGGAAAACAAAAAGGAAAGAATGAAGATGATTAGCAAGATTGCTACTGGGTTCAAAATAAAGGAAGAAGGAAGAATTAGATACTACATTAATGATCATTAAGAGGCAGATTGACTCGTCCCTAATCAAGGATTGAGTGAAGATTCAGTTACAAATATTAATGGGCAATCAAGAAGAAGATTGGCTAAATCAAGGGAACTCAGATTACCAATCTTGATCATTGCAGTTTCAAAGAATACACTCTCCATTAATCACTCCTTGAATTCAGCCGTGACAAGGAAGGTCACATTCGAATCTGGGCCAGTCAAAGAGCAAGATTCAAAGATGCATCTCTTGGGTCAAATCCCTTAATTAAAGATCTTATGCCTCCCATTTCAAAAGGATTTAACGGCTCTTTTCTTCGGTATAAAAAGGATGCTCTCTCAAGAAGAAGACTACGCAACTACAAAAAGAGTATTCCAAATCTGTCTACTTCTTAGTTCAAACACTGTAATTCTGAGTTATCAGTGTCTAAAAAGATAGAGAGATCTAGAGTACAAAAGAAAGTTATGTCACATGATTAGAACTCAACTGCTGATTCTATATATTGGTGGTAAACACAAAAATACCATCAATCATGTAAATTTATTCAAAGATCTTAAGGGAACCCTTGTGACCCAAGGGAACTAGATGTAAGTGCCACAACGGTACCGAACTAGTATCAATTTTTTGTGTCTTACTATTGCTCTTTACTGCTTTTACTCTTTCTGTCTCGTGGTTAGTCAACTAATACTCATATTAGTCGACTAAATTTTAATTAGGAAACAATTCACCCCCCTTGTACTTTCAATTGGTATAATAGCAAGGCTCACAATATGTGCTTTACCGCTAGTGAGAAAAAGATCAATGGGATCCGATACTGTTGTTGGTGCTCTCTTTCAAGAAGGAACCTCTCAGGTTCGACCTCCTTACTTCAATGGTCAACATTTTTCACATTGGAAAGTTTGCATGAAATAATACACCAAGTCATATGACAACAAAGTATGGCGTATGATAAAAAAGGAAAATCTTCCAATTCCTCCAACAAAAAATGCAAATGGTGAAATCATCACATCAACTGATCCTCTGGATTTGGACGATTACACTGATGAACAAGCTGCTATCATCACTGTGAATGTAAAAGCAAAAAATCTATTGTAAAACACTATAAGTGGAGAAGAATAAGAAAAAATATCCAGTTGTGAGACTGCAAAAGAAATATGGGATAAACTGGAAGTCACTTATGAAGGAACCAACAAAGTAGAAGAGACTAGAATAAATCTCCTGGTTAGGGAATATGAATTATTCCAAAAGAAGGATGGAGAATCTGTTGAAGAATGTTTTCTAGATTCAACAAAGTCCTTGGAGTCCTCAAATCTTTTGGAAGGCCTATTAAAAGTGGCAAACAGGTTAGAAAGATCCTCGGAAGTCTATCTACAATTTGGCAACCAAAGGTTATCGCTCTAGAATGTCAAGACCTGGACAAAATCTCCTATGATGAACTCAGAGGCGACTTGATTGCTTTTGAGAAAACTCATCTCTATAGACAAATTCAAGAGAAAAAGAAAACCGTTTCTTTCAATGCAACTATGGCTGAACCTAAAAATGAAGATGAAGTAGAAGGAGGAGAACAAGATGAAAACATTGCAATGCTCTCGCAAGTTATGACCAACTTAATGAGAAGAAACAAAAACTATAGTAGAGGTAAGTTTAAATTTAGAAAAGGAAGGGAGAGCAATGAAATAGATAAAAATGGTGGAAGATGTTACGTATGTGGAAAGCTCGGACACGTCCAAGATGACTGTCCGGAATTAAAAAGGAAGCATAGTAGGAAAGTACAAAAGAAGAAAACTTTTTGGAGCATGGAGCAACGAAGAGGAATTTGATCATGAAGAAATTGCCAATATGTGTTTTATGGATCTTAGCGACAATGAAGAACCAGATAAACTTGCACTAATGACATACAACAATGAAGAAGAAGATGATTCAAGAAGACCCTATTCACCGTTGGATGAAGGAACTAGTGAAGTACATACTCATTTATGTCCATCTTGTTATAAACTTCAAGAATTTGTTGATATTGCTCTTGCAGACATTGAAAGAGTAGTAAATGAACTCAGAAAAGTCAAAATCAAAAGAGAAAGAGAAAGAGAAAAGAAGGACTGCGCCCTGAAACTAGAAATATGCGAAGTTGAAAGTGATATACATCAAAAAGAAGTAAACGAACTCAGGCTTCAATTGAATGGTCTACAAAAATCTTCTAGTTATAGTTCAGTTCAAAATGTTCCTATTAAAAATAAAATAGCGTGCACCTTCTATGATAAAAATGGGCATAACACTAATAATTGCAGGAACAGAATTAGAGCTGAGAATAATTCTAGAAATGTCAACAACTCACCTTGCACCTACTGTGGCAAAAGAGGTCACGCCTCAAATCATTGCAGGTTCAAAAACAACAGGAGGTGGATTTGGAGACCAAAATCTTCAAATCAAACTAAAAAATCTAACCAGTCAGGACCCAAGCAGGCTTGGGTACCTAAAAATAAGTAATCATGTCTTGCAAGAACACCACAAGAAGAATCGAAAAGGAAAATGGTATCTCGACAGCGCGTGTTCCAGACATATGAAGGGTGACAAACAATTATTCAAATCAATCACCAAGCTAGATGGAGAAACAATTACATTTGGTGACAAATCCAAAGGAAATGTTATTAGTACTGGAAAGGTTCCTTTAAGCTCTACATGTGATGTGGATGAAGTTTACTTAGTGGATGAACTCGGGTACAATCTTCTCAGCACTAGTGTCAAGACCCAAACCGATAGGCCACGATGGGTACCCGGTACCTTACTCAACCGATTACCAACGTAACGTATCATTCTTATTACATCATCATAAACACGTGACATACGGGCCTAATAGGCCAACATAATCATTTATCAACTCAAAATATAGGCCGACAAGGCCGTACAATCTTTCACATACATGACATATGTCTACAAGCCTCTAAGAATACATAAATATCATAAGAGTCAAGACAGAGTCTCGCCATACCAAACAATACATGTATAAATCATACTAATCAAACAAGCAACTCCGAAGCAAATGGAGCGCACCAACATCTTCCGCTGAGCTGATAGCCTACTTGGAGGGCTCTCGACCTTTCTATCTGGACCTGCGGGCATAAAATGCAGCGTCCCCAGGCAAAAGAGATGTTAGTACGAATAATGTACCGAGTATGTAAGGCATATAAATAAGTACATAAGAGACATGGAAGAAATATAGAGTACATGACCCAACCTGTAAGTCTGAATAACTTTGCAAATCATAAATTACTTTTAGCGTCATGCATATGCGTATGACTGTCATGTCGTGCATAGGTACATGTTTCATAACATCATCAGCCTCTGAGGGCATCCCATCATATCATATCGGCCACTGTGGGCAAAATCATCATCGTATACCAGCTGATCAGGTGGTGGTGCGTATATAACGCCATAACCTTTCCCATATCCCATACATATATATACATACATATATAAGCGTATATAACACCATTTGAATACATACATATATATGCATATATAACTCCATTTGAATACATACATATATACGCGTATATAATGTCGTTTGAATCATATTTAAGCCACTGTGGGCAACATTATCATCATATACCAGTTGATCAGGTGGTGGTGCGTATATAACGCTGTAATCTTTTCACATATCCCATATACATATACATACATATATACGCGTATATAACGTCATCTGGTCATGGGTCAATGCACATGAATGCAATGCATGAAAAGTACGTTAATAAAATCTTTCGGAATTGTCATAAGACCACTTTGCCTTTGAGTAATATCATAAAGTAACCTCTTTTCAACTTTCGTATTTTTCTGAGACCCATGAACAGATGATAAAATATTATGACACATGGAAATTCAAGAACATAGATATTTCTAATACTTCTATGAATAGAATCATTCATAGGATTTATGCATTTGCACGTTTCGCTCGTATCGTATGGATAATGCCAAAAGAAAGAAGGGATAGTCTTAACATACCTATTCCCAGAATTATTTGAACGAATCTGCTTTTGCAAAATAGGGATGAAATTTATTTTGCTTTCACGTTTTTTTTGGACCGATGAAAGGTGTATAGTGAGTCACCTTAGGGGAGGGGGAAGCTGCCACGTTTCTTGGGGGTATGATTTTGATAATTTTATCCACTTATTAGTTAACCGGGTAATATTATGTTACCCGGTAATTAATCAATTACTCGCATAATTTAAAAATTACCACAAATTACTTAAATTCTATTTATTTTCAAAATACTACATATATACTTTATATATTATACTACCATGGTCATATGGTACCTCGCATGGTACTAGTTTATATTTATTGGGTATTATTACTTGACCCGTATTTTATCCCAAATCGGTAAACTTTGACGAAAATTCATTTTCTTTGACTTGCTTCCCCTTCCATCTTCACGAATTTACTCATCACTTGTGAAATAACATAATCCTTAAAATCTCCAAATAATATTTTTCTTGGACTGTTGTCAATTACCTTACGACAAATTCAACATACAATACTACGGGGTGCAACATCGTCGTAACTTATTACTGTAAAGCGTAACATTTTCGTAATGTAATACTGCTGGGTAGAACACTGTTGTAACTTAATACTGCAGGACGTAATATTACGGGGTGTAATATCATTCCCCCCTTTGAAACATTCGTCCTCGAATGTTGACTGATGCTCTTATCATTTTCGTAACTCATAGCTCTTGTGAATACATTAATACTATTCTTGCCATTCAAGCATTTGCTCTGTGAATAAATCCAAAGTCTAGGGTATTTCCCCCTTTAGTTGTTTTGCTCATATCATGACCTGTGGTCGAAATCTTCCTAATCTTGCAACTTCTGTTACCTCCTGTCATGCAGCCTGTATGACCCTGACTTGTAGGTGCACTTATGCGATTCATCTTTCCTTTTTCCTTTTATCTTTTAGTCGATCTTTAGGCCTTACTTTATATATACAAGGCTTAATAGGATGCCCCTCTAGGCCTCTATAGGTATACTGAAGTCCTTTGCTCGATACTTTGTATAACTTGCGAGTATGGCCATATCATATTTCATAGATCTGATTATCCATTCATATGACTTTACTGCATTTACATGGGTTATATCATACATTTTTTTTACTTCAATTTACCTCTACTGAGGTATGCTTACCAAGCTCTCAGTTACTTTTGTTTCCTATCATTTGGGTATAAATCTCAATCCTTCAATGCTCCTTCATTACCGTTCGTCTTAAGAATGGCGGCTTAATCTCATCTCATACTTTGTGACTTTTTTCCATCCATTATTGATTCGCCTCAATATTAATCTACAATATACCACTGATAACTTGAAACTTCTTACGTCATACCTTGCCACTAGGGCTTTACGTTCCATCGAGGAATATTTAAAGTGATTTTCCTGATTTACTTAGGGGTGATACTATACTTCAACGACCGTATTTTATAGCATCCCAATGTGATTCACTTATGTGGTTATTTTAATCTCGTACAATCCATGAAATTCTCTTCAAATCATTACTCACTCGAAGGCCTAAACGTCATCCTTTATTCATCACAATTACACTGTCATTGTACTATTAGGGCAGTATTCCATCTTTTCTAAATGCTACTAGTCTTAGACTCCTTTGAGTTTATTCAGGCTATACTGAGCTTTCTATAACTTAGAGAAACCATCAACTCTTCTTGTTTTCATGGGCTTAATCCCGAGGACTTATCCATTCTCGTCACCTTCTCTCTCGCCTTTTCTTATCCTTACTCTTGTCTTCCTAAAACCTTGTCGCTCTACCATACATTAGCTTGCGACCTATACATATCTATTTATACTATTCGCAACTTTCCTTCAACTTGCTTGCACCATAGATTTCCTTATGTTATTCCGGAACATCAAGTGAGACATCACATCGTCTCTAACTCTTCTTTACTTTCTTAGTCAAGCTTTTCGATATCTAGACCAAAGGCTGGAAGGTATGCTACTAATGATGCCGCTATTATTATTAGATAATGAATCCCAACACTTCTAGCCTTCTATCCGAAGTATGGACTATTCACATATTCTGCCTTGAGTATCTCGTACGCTGTTCACATTTACCTTTCTTATCTTAAAATCTCGCGTCGTATCTTCTATCTCTTTCATGACCTCTCTTCCACATAGGTATAATTCACGTCCATAACTTGAAGCTCTATTATAGTTCTTACACCTCAGGTGCATACACAATCCGGTGGGAGCTTCTTACTGACTTCTTTTGAGGCCGGTACTCTTCAGTTAGCTTCATCATAGAGCTATTATAAAATATGGCTATTGTACTATCTTTCCTATACCTCTACTACTTAAGAGTGATCCTGAAGTCTATAATTCCCTTGGTCCCTCCTATTTTGCTTAGTCGATGTAACTCTTTAGTCTCATCTTCTTTCTGATCAGCCTCTATATAGGCTTAAGATATCTTCCGACCTGCGGCTCCTAGTATTAATTATTACTTTAGCCTTTCATGGGCGTTATGTAATATCCATGATACAATCTTCTAACAATTCAATCCTTTGTCTATGCCCTGGGCTCAATTCTTCCTTTTTAACTTATACTGGAGTCTTCTATGGCTGTATGATTGTCAACAAATATGCTGCCTGGATAATGCTCCAAAATCTTGAGTGTATCCATCACGTACTAACTCTGGATCATTGATCAAATAATTCTTTCGTTCCATCTTAGCTTTCTCTCAACGCAAGCTATTACTTTTCCTGGTCCTTCTGCCCCTTGTTGCGTCCATACTTAACTCACCTTAGTGCCCACACTTGTAAAGTTTTCATACAACTCGTATGATCTCGAATATTACTTTTAATTCTTACTTCCCGTTCATTATCCACGGTAGGTGACACTTTCCTTTGGAATGCTTACAATGTTGTTGCGAGATTGTTGTTACACGACAATTTCCTCTTTAGGTAGTTTTGTTTAGGTTGAAGCCTTGTTTCTTATCTCCTCAGGTAGTCTTTCGTTGTAGTACTTAGGGAGAACCCTTGACTCTCGTAAAGTTGTGGGGTTATTATGAACCTTTTTGATGTCCTTACTTGCCTATAATCATCTGTAGTTGCTTACTTCTATGCCCTTGTGCTTGTATGGTTGCTTCTAAACTGATATTTTGACTGCCTTCCTAGTGGCACCTTTTTTTAATCCCCGTAACACTCATACAGTAGCTTTAACTATCCCGACTTTTGTTTGAATATATCTCAAGTATTATAATGATATTCTTCGAAGCTGAATTTTTCCATGTTAGGTTCTACTATGTTTATCATACACGATCTGATGACTCGTCTGCAACCTCCTATTTTTCCATAACTGGAATCTTCCTAACCAATTACTAACTACTGGTTGGCCCATTCTCATACCAATATTCCTCGTAATCTTTCTTGGGTTATTTCCTTTGTCTTAACTTATGTCTCGCACTGGCTCTTTATTTATTAATAACAGCTCGGGCAGGAATTTTCACTTCCTTTCTTTGACGTCGTGCTTGCACAATATTCTTGAATCGTAGCGTATCTATAAGATTTGGATAAGTGTCATCTCATTCCTCTTTCATTTATCGCATTCTTCCTTTACCACTCCATAGTCACTAGAACCACTTAACTCTGACTTAATGCCACATCACACCATATTCCCCCCTTTAGGGTGTACTAAAAGCCAAAGCCACGAGGATATACCTATAGATGTTGTACCTCTTCATCTTTGATGTTGTTTCTCAACATCAATGATACTTACTCGTGTTGCGGCAATCCTTCTGTACCAAGGATGACAAATACCCTTACTCGCGAGGGTGACACTTAGCGTAACTGGCACATACAGTCTCTTAAGCTTAACTTTGCTCACATTGCTTGCTCTAGGGAAACGTCTCCCTGAATGACCATTCTCAGAATTCATCATGAATCTTCTTCTATGGTCCATTCTATTACCACCGGAACAAAATCTGAAATTACTATGATGCCGAGTACTTTCCAATCATTCAGTCCTTAATTTATATTTAGTTTGTTTACTAGTTCATACTGATTTCTGCTACTCTGGAGATTAACTCTCCCCTCTGGTAGTCACGTTGGAGTCACAAACTTATTTCTTGAAATGAGGATATGACTTTATGGCCTATATTATTTTATTGTCTCAAGGCCTATCATTTTTTGTCTTTTCCTTCACTTGACTGTAAACTCTGTAATATTGTCATCATTTTTTTGACCTACCGTTGTCATCCGTGTATCACATCTTACTCATAATGCTTTATTAACTTTCTTCTCATCTCCCGCTAATTATCTATGTCCACTGCTTTACTCTGAAAACTCGAACAAAACATTCTTTTGCTTTTGGCTCCACTTGCTCCATCCCTTGACTCTTGTAGTTGCCTAACATTCTTTCTTTGCTTAGGGCTGAAGCCACACTAAGGTAATATTTATTCCTTTAAGGCTTCCAGTGCTCACATCTAGCTTTAATATTTTAGTGTGCACCATCTAGGTGTCTCACAAGGAGATCTATTAGCGCATTTGCAATATCCTTCAGAAATGTCAACTAAAGCAAACAATCCATTCACTATTTTGGGCCACTCTAACCCCCTCTGGATCATGATATCCCATCATTTTTCTTAATCTACACTTGTTAGCCCCCAATATGGTATAACTGAGATGGGTGTGGCCCATTATACATACCTCTGTTACTGTTGAATATAACTCAAAAAGCTTATATTCCTCTACCTCAATTATAAACGTTGTTAACCTTCATTAACTAGACGCCTCGTACCCTTCTTCATCTTGATTTTTTTGCTTGTTGAAACTTGTATTTATCTTTTTAATCTCTCATTGTCTTTCACCATAAAGGTGGATAGGCATTCTTGCTTTAAGGCTCCTTATCAAGAGTCTTACACCTTTTAATACGCACATGATCTGCTGAAGACCTCATATTTACTTATCATAAGCATGATACAAAGTCGAGTTCCTCTAATTCAACACTTCCACAACTATATCTCTTATCGATCATCTTTCTGAACGTAGGCATCATCTTATTACAAATAAAAATAGAAGCTCGAAACTTGAATTCTTATAAGTGAACTCTACCACACGATCTAGAGTAAGAAGAAAGAGTGATAGTCTTAAACGCCCTGTAGCCTCCTGCTTATAAGTGTGGTGCATGACACACCCATAAACAAGACTCTACTAGACACGGCTTGTAGACTCCCTAGGACAGAACTGCTCTGATACCACTTTTGTCACGACCCAAACCGATGGGCCGCGATGGGCACCCGGTACCTTACTCAACCGAGTACCAACGTAACGTATCTTTCTTATTACATCATCATATACACGTGACATACGGGCCTAATATGCCAACATAATCATTTATCAACTCAAAATACAGGACGACAAGGCCGTACAATCTTTCACATACATGACATATGTCTACAAGCCTCTAAGAATACATAAATATCATAAGAGTC